TATATTACAATACATTTATTGCACAGATGATATTATATTTATATCAAACTATGAAACTTATGAGTCTATAGATTGGCAGCTGGCTCTACAGGATATACTGGCACCTTTTCATATGTCTGTCCAACAATTATAAATTCTCTCCCTATGGAAGCTCACCCATGAGGCTTATGTCCTTATGATTTATGGTTATGAAATAAGAAGTAATACATCATTTATTTCACTGCTTTTCAATTTTAGGAATGCCTAGAGCTCATTTATAGACAACAGCCTTACATATACTTCAAGAGCTCTTAAGAATTGGTGCTTAATTTTTCACATCTCCCACTACAGGCATTCCTTATTACCCCCAGGCCAAGACATAAAGTCACACTTAAGCCTCTACGCTCTTCTCACTGGTATCTGAAAAGGTCCTGATGTTTTCATACTGTCAGGAAGAGGATATGCTTACATGTCTTCACAGGATATTGACCCGTCTTCATGAATTCTGGATCGCCTGTTCATACTATACACTAGGCCGCTGCAGGACAAAGGCACTCTAAAGCTGCCAGTCTGAATACAGGCTGTTATTTACCTCTAGATTCTTAAATATTGAGCTTTGAATATGAATAAATAGATACAATTCCAGATCCTTTTGATGAACTGTTCATCAATGGTATAAAACTTATAGAAATATGATTAGAAATAATTCTGTTCTAAATGTATTTTATTAATTTTTGTCAAAAGATAAATGAGACTTAAGATTAATTATCAGCTGGTTGTAGATTCTTCCCGGACCCTGGGAGGGTACTATCGAGGGGCTGGACCACCATAGTTCTGGATACTTTGGTCTGTTGTGGGCTCTCTTACTGAGGTGAGTAGATGAGTGAGTGTGTTGTGTCTCTTGTGTTTCCCCAGGAAATGTCTGTGACATAATGCCATTGCTATTGTTCCATGTAGGGTCAGAGGCATGGACTCTGAGCAGAACCAATGTAGAGCCTATTCCCAGTCATGAACTGACTTTAGGCAAGCATTGGCAAATTGGTCAAGACTGGTTAGGACATAAAGCTCTTAGGAGTTCCCCTGGTTTGGCTTGAGTTGGGCCTTCTTGAGTTGACTAGAGACAGGCTTTGTACTGAGGTGGCATGTACCAGGAATCTTATGTATAGTGCTGTGAGTTATTAAAGGGATTGGTGAAAATATATGTACATATCAATTGCTAGAATCCTGTGATCAGTAGCTGACGGTCTCTCAAACTTACAAACACCTTTTTTTTTAAATTTCTAATTAATTTAGCCTTTTTGAACTGAGAGGTAAGCATGTAAGCTTAGTGGGTGAGCACTTGCCTACATGTTGAAGTCCTGGATTTGTTCCCTTGCTCTGGGATGGTCTGTATGTCAAATGCTCTGATTGGTCAATAAACAAAACATTGATTGGCCAGTGGCCAGGCAGGAAGTATAGGCGGGACTAACAGGGAGGAGAACTGAGAGAACAGGAAGGTGGGAGGAGACACTGCCAGCTGCCACCATGACAAGCAGCATGTGAAGATGCCAGTAAGCCACGAGCCACGTGGCAAGGTATAGATTTATAGAAATGGATTAATTTAAGATGTAAGAACAGTTAGCAGAAGCCTGCCACGGCCATACAGTTTGTAAGCAATATAAGTCTCTGTGTTTACTTGGTTGGGTCTGAGCGGCTGTGGGACTGGCGGGTGAGAGAGATTTGTCCTGACTGTGGGCTGGGCAGGAAAACTCTAGCTACATTCCCTAGTATAAATAAGTAAAGATAAATTTAAAATTCCAGGAAAGGTATCAATCTATTACTCAAAAAATCCACATGTAGGTTGGGTGTGGTGATGCATCCCTTTAACTCCAACACTCAGGAGGCAGAGAGAGGCAGGTGATCTCTGTGAGTTCCAGGCCAGTCTTAGTCACCTAACCAAGTTCCATGACAGCCAGGGCTACAAAGAGAGATACCCTGTTTCAAAAAGCCACAAAGGAATCCACATTTATCACACACACACACACTTTTTATTGTTGGTTCTTTTTTGAAGCAGGGTTTCATACAGTCACAGCTGACCTGGACCTTGCTCCACAGCAGACCTCATGGGTTTAATGCCTCAGTGTTAGGAAGACAAGGTGACAAAGTCACCATTTTTGAGACAGGAAATATTGCCAATAATAGAAAGAGGTTGTATGAACTGCTGGAACCCATCTAGTGATCTCTTACATGCTAGACAATAGGTCATCTCTAGAGTTGTGCCTTTAGGTGAAGGCCTGGAACCCCAGGTAACTGAGAGGCTAAGCAATGAGGATAGCAAGTTCAAAGGCTGCCAAAGCTACAGAAGGAATTCAAGAATAATTGGATACTGGCAAAAAACCGACATACAGACCAATGGAATCGAATTGGAGACCCTGACATTAATCCACGCACATATGAACACCTGATTTTTGACAAGGAAGCCAAAACTATACAATGGAAAAAAGAAAGTATCTTCAACAAACGGTGCTGACATAACTGGATGTCAACATGTAAAAGATTACAAAGAGATCCATATCTGTCACCATGCACAAAACTCAAGTCCAAGTGGATCAAAGACTTCAACATAAATCCAGTTACACTGAACTTGATAGAAGAGAAAGTAGGAAATACTCTTGAATGCATTGGCACAGGAGGCTACTTCCTAAATATAACACCAGTAGCACAGACACTGAGAACAACAATTAATAAATGAGACCTCTTGAAACTGAGAAGCTTTTGTAGGGCAAAAGACACTGTCAATAAGACAAAAAGACAGTCTACAGAATGGGAAAAGATCTTCACCAACCCCACATCTGACAGAGGGCTGATCTCCAAAGTATATAAAGAACTCAAGAAACTAGACATCAAAATACTGAACAATCCAATTAAAAAATGGGCTACAGAGCTAAACAGAATTCTCAAAAGAAGAATCTCAAATGGCTGAAAGACATTTAAAGAAATGCTCAACATCCTTAGTCATCAGAGAAATGCAAATCAAAACGACTCTGAGATACCACCTTACTCCTGTCAGAATGGCTATGATCAAAAACACGAATGACATTCTATGTTGGAGAAGATGCAGAGCAAGGGGAACGCTCCTCCACTGTTGGTGGGAGTGCAAACTTGTACAACCACTGTGGAAATCAGTATGGCGGTTTCTCAGAAAATTGGGAATCGATCTACCTCAAGACCCAGCTATAGCACTCTTGGGCACATACCCAAGGAATGCTGATTCATACCACAAAGATACATGCTCAACTATGTTCACAAAAGCATTATTCGTAATAGCCAGATCCTGGAAACCACCTAGATGCCTGTCAACTGAAGAATGGATTAAGAAAATGTGGTACATATACACAATGGAGTTCTACTCAGCAGAGAAAAACAATGACAGCATGAAATTAAATTTGCAGGCAAATGGATGGAACTAGAAAATATCATCCTGAGTGAGGTAACCCAGACCCAGAAGGACAAGCATGGTATGGACTCACTCATAAGTGGATTCTAGATAGAAAGCAAAGAACAATCAGACTGCAACCCACAGAACCAGGGAAGCTACATAGCAGGGGGGACCCTAGGATGACAGTGGCTTATAATAAGTTTTGGTTTTACTCAATCACTGGGCAAGCCTCAGTGAAACATTTCACTATTAGGATAAGAATTTGTACTGTATCAAGCTGATAATAGAAAGAAAAAAAAAGAACAACTGGATAATTTAGGAGACTGTCTCAAAAACAACAAAATGGTTGGGAGTACAGCTGAGTGGTACAAAGCTTGTGCCAAGGTGCAGGTTTAATATCCAGTATCCAGGAGAGGCAGGGATTTTGAGGTTTATTCCTAGCCCCCTATACATTCATTCTGTATTGTTTACAACAAATACTGTCAGCCGGTGGTGGCACACATCTTTAATCACAGCACTTGGGAAGCAGAGGCAGGCAGATCTCTGTCAGTTCGAGGCTAGCCTGGTCTGCAGAGTGAGTTCCAGGACACCCAAAGTCACAAGAAACCACCTCAAAAAAGAAGCCAAACCAAAAATCAAAAACCAAAATCAGTCAACTAACCAACCAACCAAAACCTTGAGGTAAATGCTATTTTCTGGATTTTTCAAGAGGGTATTACTGACATTATGAATAATGAATAGTCCTTGACCAGACATAGCTGAATCGTTCAACAAATATTTATCGGATGCCTGATACATACAGGCACCGTGCCATGCTGAATTCAGTGAGGTAAATGACATTTCTTTGATGAGACTAATCACATGTAAAAATGTAACTGTGGTTTCTAGTGGCCTGAAAAAGTCACCCAAGTTTGAGAGGCAAGTCTTGTGAGCTAACAATCTGGTTTTTGGTTTCTCCACATCCTACACGCGAGAGTTTGGTACATCAATCTAACCTATCTCATCTATTGAGATTAATTATAGACGAGAACTGCTTGCTGTACATCTTTAAAAAGACAAGCTTTGTAAAAACGAACTCAAGGGCACAGTGGTGCATGCCTGTAATTACCAATAATGGGAAAACAGGATCTGGAGTTTAAGATCGGCCTTCCCTCCATGAGCCTGTACCACAATAAAATACAACACGAGCCAGGCGGATCTCTGTGAGTTCGAGGCCAGCCTGGGCTAGCAAGTGAGTCCCAGGAAAGGCGCAAAGCTACACAGAGAAACCCTGTCTCGAAAAAAAAAAAAAAAAAAAAAAAAAAAATACAACACGAAGTTTATCGGAACGGTACTTGGCAAGATCCCTTAGGCGAGCGTCGGGCTCTTTAAGTCTCCAGAGTTCCCCCTGGCATACACGCGGTCAGCAGCCGCTCAATCAGCCTTACCCTGGAAGGAGCCAATTCCGTTTCTGCCGGCAGATCTTCGCGGTGGGTGTGACCGCCCCAACATCCGACCCCCCCGACAGACTCTGGAGGGCCCGCCCTCCGTCTCGCGCATGCGCCGGAGGCGGGCCCGAGACAGGAAGTTCAGGGGCGTGGCGAAGCCGCTCCAGACAGCCGGCTCTGACGCTGAGGCGGGGAAGTTGGGAGGGGGGAACGGGGGACGGGGGACGGGAACGCGCGCGCGGAAGTGCGCGCTCGTCCGCGCAGCCCGGCTGCGTACAGTAGTGACGGCCGCGCGGGAGCGATCACATGACCTCAGCGGCTGCCTGTACAGTAAGACCCCAATATGGCAGCGGCGTTAGCAGTGGCAACAGCAGCAGGACCGGCCGCCCCGTAGACCCCCCTCCACCCCGCCACCGCGCGCCTCCGTGGCGTGGCCGCGTCTCCGCTGAGCTGCTTCTCCGGTCCGACTTCCCCTTTTCTCCCACCTTTCCCCGCCCCGCGGGAAAAGCCGTGCAGGGCGCAGCAGGCAAGGGAAGGCAGCCGGAGCCGGGGCACGGAAGCCTCCCAGTCAGTTCCGGACCCGACATGAGGGAAAAGGGCCGTAGGAAGAAGGGCAGGACCTGGGCGGAGGCCGCCAAGACGGTAAGGAGGGGGGCGCGGAGGGGAAGGCCGGCAGGAGTCGGTTTCCTCGCCGGCTGCCGGTCTCCGGGGAAGGGAGGTCACTTGGCCCCGCGACCGGGCTGAGGGGCTCGAAAGCGCGCGCAGAGGGCGGCGGTTAGGGTCGCGTTGGCGAGCCCCGAGGAGAGCGGGGCGCCGGCGCGAGGGGGTTGGTGGCGCGGCCGGCTGCCGGTTCTCCCGGGGGCTGCGACCGGACCCCTCGGTGTTCCCAGGTTGCCCTGTCGGGGGTCATGTCGCCGTCGCCCCCGCACTGCTAGCCCTTGTCTCGGCACCGTGTGTTGTGCTTGCCCAGTAACCGGTTCTTCTCCCTTGTGCGCCTTGGAGAGCCCCGATTGGATGCAGACAGGAGGCGGCTTGTGCGTGCATCCAGCCCCGGAAAGGAGAGGGGAGCGCTGGAGCTCGGCGGCGTTCCCCGGCCGAGGCGGTGGTGCCACCAGACCCGGGGGCCCTGCTTATCTGGCTCTGGGAGCCAAGGGCAGGTCACGAGGCTTTTGTGTTTGCCGTCCGAGCTGAAAGTGCAGGAGGTGTTTAGAAACGAAGTAACAGGTGGGACTTGGAGAATTTTTTTTTTTCTGTTTCCGTAGAGACCTACTCTGAATAAGGCAGCAATGCATGGTGGGACGTGTAGTTTACCGGGCCTCCACTTTTCTTTAGCCAAAGTGAAGGTGGACCGACGAAATTGTGTTTAGTGGGCACACACCCCCCCCCCCCCCGCCCCCGCCCCCAATTTTGTTATACGGAATTTAGAAGTCATTTCAGAATGAGTGTTAGTGAGGTCTTGTTTTGAAAAAAAAAAAGTTTCAAAACGTGTATTTACGAAGAAACGTTACTTTAAGGAGAAATTGAAATTCCATCATTGCAAGTGTAACAGAAAAATAACAGGACATTAAACAGAAAAATAACAGGACATTAAACATTAGTAGCATTTCAACCTGTTTTATAGATGGACAACATGTTGGGTAAGTGAACCCTTACAGGTTATAAGGTGTATTTTCTCCTTTAAAAAGTGTGTGTGTGTGTGTGTGTGTCTGTCTGTCTGTCTGTCTTAGGGGCGGGGCGTGTGCAGATGGCCATGGAGCACATGCAGAAGTGAGAGCTGATGCAGGTTCTCAGTCTTGCTGGCCAGCACTTTTACTCACTGAGTAACTTTGCTGGTCTTGGTTTATTTATTAATTTATTTTCTGGTTTTTAGAGACAGGGTTTCTCTGTCTAGTCCCTGCAGACCTTGAACCCACTGTATAACACTGTAGATCACTGTAGATAACTGTTTCCTTTAGAAGATGGACCAGGCTGGCCTCAAACTCAGAGATTCCTCCTGAGTCTGCCTCCCAAGTGCTGGGATTGCACCACACTGCCCGGATCCTGGTTTCTGCTTTTAAATGAGACTTTCAGAATTCAAAAGTAATGTTCATCATGGAGAAAATTGGAAAGTATGAAGAAGAAAAAACACTCCGTTCACTCCTTTACTACTGCCTAGTCTTGTTTCCCCAAATCTGAGTTATAGTGTTTATTCAATCTGCATTTTTTTTGTTGAATGTTTCCCCATATACATTTATTAACTTATTTTTTGGGGTAGAATCTCACGTAAATGATTGTCTCAAGTTCGCAGCAGTCCTCTTGCCTTTGCTCCTTGAGTGCTGGGATTATAGGCAGGCACCACCTTGCCCACTTTTATGGGATGCTCAGGATAGAACCCTGGGCATCATGCATACTAGGCAGATGCTCTTCCAGCCCACTTAGAATTTGTCTTTGTGACAGTATTGGTAGTTTCCCCTAACAAACATCTCTAGAAATAATATTTTGGTGGTGAGGAGTTTCTCTTCCACAGAAGTTTTACTTTCTACTTTAGGGGCACCTCATTGACTGCTTCCTGTTAATAAAAGAGAAGATGCTATTTAGTTAAAAGTATGCAAATCCCAAAATTAATTAGGTGAATTAATTTTACTTACTTATTAGGCTTTAGTTTTTTGAGACCAGGTTTCACTTTGTAGCCCAGGCAGGCCTTAGCATTGGAAGCAGTAAGATTTCATTAATCTCAGCAATCTTTATATCTTTTTGTTAACTTTTTTTGTTTGGTTGGTTGGTTGGTTTTTGAGATGGACTCTTTGTAGCTCCGCCTAATTAAGAGCCCATTGTATAGTCCAGGCTGGCCTTAAACTTGAGGTGATCTCTTACCTCAGCCTCCCCAGGGCTGGGATTATAAGCACATACTACCACGTCTGATTCAGTCTGTACAGTACCTTGTGAATTATGATCTTTTTGGATTAAATAGTTTAATGATTGGGAAATTGTGACAACTAGGAAGAATAATTTTGCATCTGTTTCATTTTCTGAAATAATAACTTAGAACATTTACTTATTTTGTGCCCCAGATATCTATGTGAAAAATGGTGTTTAAAAGACAGAGAGTAGGCTGGGGAAATGGCTCAGTGTTTAAGAGCACTTGTACACGAATGCACCTTTACAAAATATCTCCTCCCCATTTAAAAAAATGCATTTATTTTACTTTTCTGCTGCCTTTTTGGGGGAGGGATGTCTGTGTATATCTAGATGTGCATGTGGAGGCCAGAGGATGCTATCCAGTGCTTTTCTCAGTTCCTGTCCACTTTTTTTACTGAGACACGGTCTCCCACTAAACCGGAAGCTTGCCAGTTGGTCTGCATGTGTATCTGGCCAGCTTGCCCAGGCCTCCCCCATCTCTACTTTCCAAGTACTAGTATTATTTATATGGGGCCAACATGCACACCTGAATTTAAAATTTTGTAAATTTATTTCATGTGTATGTATATTCTGTCTGCATGTCTGTGCACCACATGCACACCTGGGGTCAGAAGAGGGTGTCTGGTCCCCTGGAACTGCAGTTACAGATGGTTGTGTTTTGTTCCGGGTTACTGAATATACTAAATTTAAAAACTTTTTAAATATGACTTAAAGAGTACTAATTACACCCTTTAAATCAAATATAGAAGCCCCCATGGTGCCTCATGTCTACAACCCAAGCTCTCAGCAGGATCAGAAATTCAAGGCCAGGTTCAGCTATGTAAAGTTTGAGGATAGCCTGGGCTACATGAAACGCCCTCACAAATAAAAGAAAAAAACAATGCTATAAAATTTATATAAACTCATTTTTAAAAAAAACAGAATTAAGTAATTTCAGATGAGTCTAGTCTACTGAAAAGTGTGCATATTAAAATACTAGAGATGCTCAGTTTGGAGCTGGAGAGATGACTCAGTGTAAGAGCACTTGTTTCTCTTGCAGAGGACCGAGGTTCAGTTCCCAGCACCCACATGGTGGCTCACAACCATCTATATAACTCCAGTTCTAGGGGGCCCAGTGCTTTCTGCTGACCCTGGACACCAGGCACACATCCATGCCGGCAAAACACTCATACATATAAAATAAATATTTTAAAAAATGCTACTAAAGTTAGCTAAGATTGACATTTTGCTAAACATACAAGCAGGTGGAAGGTGTATATTACATAAAGTTCTATAATTTGCTTTATGAATGTCATGGATATCTTCTCATGGCAATAACTAAATTGCTGCCACCTTCCAAATTGCTGCCATCTTCCTTGTTTTTGAGACAAAGTCTCATGGTGGCAGGGTTGGAAAGAGTGTGCAAGTGCTAGCAAGCCAGTGCGCAGACACAGAGACAAACTGGGACAACGGAGTGCATGTGCCCTATACCCAAGGACCTACTTTATTGTTGTTTTGTTTTTTCAAGACCGAGTTTCTCTGTAGGTCTAGCTGTCCTGGAATGTGCTCTGTATACCAGGCTGGCCTTGAAGGCGTGAGCCACCAATGCCTGGCTAAGATGTATCTATCATCTACCCACCCACCCACCCTATCTATCTGAGACAGGGTCTCTCTACTTACCACTGGCTGTCCTGGAACTTGCTCTGTAGACCAGACTGGCCTTGAACTTGAACTCAGAGATCTGTCTTTCTCTGCCTTCTAGTGCTGGGATTAAAGGCATGTGCCACCACTCCCGGCTTACACAGACTTCTTAAAACTAGACTCGACCTTGCCGGATGATGGGAGGCAGAGGCAGGTGGATCTCTGTGAGCTGGAGGCCAGCCTGGTCTACAGAGAGAGTTCCAGGACAGCCAAGGCTACATAGAGAAACTCTGTAACCAGGCCCTACCTCTTTAACATTTCTGCTGCGTAATAAATCTGTCAGATTGCAGATCCATCAATGAATTTGCCCTTTGATGAAACCATGCCTTCATGATCCATTCACTACCCTGAATCCCCCCACCTAAATACTGACTCATTAGGAACCAAGTCTTCAACAACACTTGAGCCTTTTGGGGATACACTTATGTCAGAATTATAATGATATCTGTGTTGTCGTGTGCTAAAAATATTCCATAGCCTTTGAGCACCTAAAATGGCCACTGTGATTACGAACTGCATTTAACATTTTATTTAATCTTAATTACTGCTAAAAATCGATATGTGGGCTAGGCGGTGGTGGTTCACGCCTTTAATCCCAGCACTTGGGAGGCAGAGGCAGGCAGATCTCTGTGAGTTCGAGGCCAGCCTGGGCTACAGAGTGAGTTCCAGGACAGGCTCCAAAGCTACACAGAGAAACCCTGTCTCGAAAACAAAACAAACAAACAAACAAAAATCGGTATATGCCTATTATTGGATAATACAGAATTAAAGTAATTTCCCATGTTTATTGACTATTATTATATTCTTTTTTTTTTTTTTTAAATAGGGTTTCTCTGTGTTTCTTTGGTGCCTGTCCTGGAACTCTGTAGACCAGGCTGGCCTTGAATTCACAGAGCCTGCCTCTGCCTCCTAAGTCCTGTGATTAAAGGCGTGCACCACCACCACCACCACCACCACCACCACCACCACCCAGCTGACTATTGTTATATTCAATCCCCAGTACTGGGGATTGAATTTAGGGCCTTGTGTTTGCTAGTCAGGTGCTACATTCATGTACATCCATA